TTCAGTAGACACAGTGAATCAAGTATGCCAAAAAAAGGTATTTTGACGAAATTAATTTAATTAAATAAATAAATAAATTTAAATTTTATTCGCTGTCTGAGGTTAAGTTTCGGAATCATCATTCATATTAATAATTAATGGTTCGACGGTAATTTCCATTACCCCATCGGTTTCCCACATTTTTGATTCCTCTTTTTAACGTGCTCAATTACCTTTTGCCACTTCTTCCTTGATTTGGACCCAAATCAACTCAATTTTGTTAAACTCACAATGGTAAGGTGGCAGACGTAAAACATAATGTTCTATGCTTGCCGCCATTTTGTCTATAACATATCTCCCTCAGCTGGCCTATTGGCCTTTGCTAATGTTTGTAGTTCGGCTTTAACCATATCTTCTGTAAAAGCTATGCCGTGTCTATTCAAACACGCTTGTATTTCCCCCTTTTTTGTAGCTGATGTAGGCGATTTATCAATGCGTCTACTGTGGTATGAATCGTTGTCCATAACTATTACAGCTTTTTTTTTTGTTAATTCTGGCAGAATATCTCGGCACCAGTTTTCAAACACATCATAATTCATCTCTGCATCTGCAACAAATCATTATTTGCTACAAATCCGTCCTCAGATCCAATATGTAATATAATTAGACGTTTTCCTTTACCAGAAGAAGCTTTAACCCTGTTGACAGACGCTCCAAGAAGGCTTGTCTGGAATTTTTTACCCATATTTTGGTAGTATTACCTGCATTTACCCAGGTTTCGTTTAGGTAATACATCTTCCCCCCTTCCTCTCTGAAATTTTTGATTTCGCGTAGATACCTACGTCTCCACGAGATTATTTCATCTTTTTTTGTCAAAATGTAGTTTTTTCTAGTTATAAAACTAAAATAAAAAACGGTATGTAATTTATAATGTAATTCTTTTGTAACACATATTTGCTTATTGTGTAACGACATATTTTGCTTACCTCAGGGTAAGAACATGGGGGAAGAAGATTTGGCAAACAACATTCTTTTGTAACACATATTTGCTTATTGTGTAACGACATATTTTGCTTACCTCAGGGTAAGAACATGGGGGAAGAAGATTTGGCAAACAAAATAATCGAAACTAGTGCGTACGGCACTCAGGAGGTTGTTGGAGAGCTGGGTCGTGGATAAGTTGAAATAAAATGGGTCGGATTGGGGTATCTAAAAAATGAAAACAAAGGGATACTTACATAAATCTCCTGGGTCAAAAACGAAATAAGATATGGCAGACAAGGTTTACCTCTAGCTATTTTCTTTATTGGGACGCCGCTTCGAAAAAAACTTCCTGCTGGGAGAAAGAAAAATTTTCTTCCCTAAAATCAATACAAGGCTTAGGAGACTTTTCTAAATTAAAACACAAAATGGATCAGAGAAACAAATCAAACGTTTATTTTTGTCTCAAACAAACAGTTATCAAAAATGCAGATTACACAAGAAGCATACTATATAACATAATACAAATTAACAAAAACTTTCTATGAAAATACTGTAGAATTTAACCTTATATATGAAATATCTTTTCTATATAATAATCAAATACATACGTATCAGTAATCAGTACATACGTATATAAAAGAAGAGGACGTATGTGAACGATTTTCAAACCTAGAACGAATGAAAAGAGTGCTCTCATATTGTATAATATTTGCAGCAAACAATTGCAGAAAAAATAACAAGCCATAGAGATTGACCATTCAAGAATTAAAAGAAACATTACTGAAAAGAATAAAGAAAACGCAATAAATCCCCTTTCTACAAGACATATAGACACCGAGTAATAAAAAACATTTATATAAAGGAAGCAACCTAATGTCCTTGGTACCACATCTAGATCAACAAGGAGTACTAAGAGTTACCGGAAGATTATAAGATTAAGGCACACGGACCTACATTACTCCGAAAAACACCCCATAATATTACCCAATAATTCCCAGAAGACTATTCTGTCTCCTGCTTCTGTACACAATGTAGCTTCGCATATTTTTTACAAAAATTTTTAAAGTGTTTGTTTGTCCTTGTGTAGTGTAGTGTGATGTACCATTTTATGTTTATAACATTTTATTCTTGTCGGATAGGCCGCAATTGACGAAATGCCCCTGAAGATGCTCTAGGGAGCGAAAGTACTTGGGCAAGATTAAATTAATTAAACTGTGTTCGATATTTGCCTTTGATCAAAGTTCATTGATTATAGTTCCCAAGTAGTTGTACTGTGAGACACGTTCAATTCTCATTTTGTTCACATACAGATTTGCTCCAGTTATGCTTTCCTTGCTGATGATCATTAGCTTGGTTTTGCTGGTGTTTATATCTAGTCCATATTTTCTACTTGTTTCCGTTATTTTGTTCATTAAGTTTTGCAGCCTTTCTATGGTATTGGAAAACACTATTGTATCATCTGCATACCGTAGGTTATTAAGCTTGACTACGTTTATTGAGATACCTTAATCAATATCTTTTAGAACCTCTTCAAAAATGTGCTCCGAGTACAGATTGAATGCACTTCTGTCTCGCTCCCCTTAAGATTTTGACCTGATCTATATATTCTCCATCTTTTCGGATCACCGCTGATTGATTCCAATATAGGTTAGCTTTATTTTTAGGTCTTTTCTTTAAATTTCTGTCCTCTTTAGCATTATTTATTCATGCCTGACTCTTTTGAAAGCCTTCGTGTAGTCAATCAGGCATGCGAAAACATCACAACTGACATCTTTACATTTCTGAAACAATACCTGCACGCTAAATTACTCCTGGTTTTTGAGCAATGCTACGAACTCTGATTTGAGCCACTCTACTGGTATTTTTTCTGCCTTGTATATTTCATTTCAAAATCGATCACCTGGTGATGATGGACTCGTTATCGAGGAAATAAAAGCAGGAGAAATTTTATTAAAATCAGTATGTGAACTATTTAATAAAAGCTTACATGCGGGTAAGATTCCAAAAGACTGGAACAATGCAGTAATAGTGTTGTTACACAAAAAAGGAGATATTACTAAATTAGAAAATTATAGACCCATCAGTCTCTTGACACATATGTACAAACTCTTTATGAAAATCTTAACAAAGAGGCTAGCACCTAAACTTGATTTCTATCAGCCCAAAGAACAGGCAGGCTTCAGGGCAGGATATGGCACAAATGACCATTTGCATACCATAAAGGTCTTAATAGAAAAGTGCATCGAGTACAACATACCACTCGTTCTTGCATTTGTCGATTACGAGAAGGCTTTTGATTCTGTAGAGTTTGAAACAATACTGGAAGCCCTAAATCAAAGCCGAATAGATTACAGGTACACGACACTAATCAAAAACATCTACGAGAACGCTACATCAAGTATACGACTACACGAAGACACAGAAAAATTCAGCTTAGGTCGAGGAGTTAGACAAGGAGACAATATTTCACCAAAATTGTTCACGGCAGCTCTAGAGTCAATATTTAAGAGCACTCAATGGCAAGATATGGGCATCAATATAGATGGAGAAAGATTAAATCACCTAAGGTTTGCAGATGATGTTGTATTAATCGCAGATAACTTACATGATCAGTTTCTATGATGCATTCGCTTAAAAGTATGTCTGAAACAGCAGGATTAATGATAAACTTTGAGAAAACTAAACTTATAACAAATCTCGTAATGAGTGGAAATATAACTATTGACAATAATACCATACAACAAACAGACACAAATATCTGGGACACGAAATCAAAATAAGCAGAGACAATCAAACACATGAAATACAGAGGCGAATAGGCCTAACATGGGCAGCATTTGGCAAATTAAGCCATATTCTAAAAAGTTCAATTTTCCATGTGTGTCAAGCGAAAGGTTTATAACCAATGTGTTTTACCTGTACAAACTTATGGAGCAGAGACTTTAACACTCACGCACAAATCTGCGAATAAACTCAGTTACACAACGAGCCATGGAACGTGCAATGCTGAACGTGAGCCTTCGAGACCACATCACAAACCAACAAATCAGGCAAAGATCAGGAGTTCAAGACGTCATGGAAAGAACCACGACTCTTAAGTGGAACTGGGCAGAGCACTTAGCCAGAACACAAGATGGACGGTGGATAAGACTTATTATGGAATGTAGGCCCAGAAACTATAAAAGAAGCCGAGGACGACCACCGACTAGATGGACCAATGATATAAAACGTGTAGCGGGAAACTGGCTACACGCGGCCCAGTGTAGAGAACACTGGAAAGAACTGAGGGAGGCCTATATCCAGCAGTGGACGCGATTGGCTGATTGATGATGATATTTCATTAAATATTATTTTTATTTGTTTTGCACCTGATAGCTTCAGCAGTTCTGCAGGAATTTCATCAAGCCCCGGTGCCTTTCCATCTTTCTTCAATGGTGGTATGTTGTATTGTTCTAAGGTCGTGGAAAAGTTTCTCCAAGTATTCTTCCCATATTTTTTCAACTTTCCAGCTATTTTCTTCACCTTTCGATGGACATTGAAGTTATCATATATACTCTGATTCTCCTGTATTTCTTGACATTGTTCTGTTTTTTGTTTCTCTTTGGCTTCTCATATCTTTCTTTTGACGATGGTATGTATTCTCTTGTATTCTTGGAGATTTTCTTTTATTTTTTTTTCTCTGATTCATAAGTTCAAGTATTTCATCGGTGATCTACGATTTCCGTTTCTCTGTATATTTCTTCAGGTGTTCTTCTTTTATTTCTCTCACTGTTTCTTGTATGATCGTCATATTTTATTTTAATTGGAAATACCAATGCATGTATGCATGACAAACTAGTAAAAATGATTGTAAGAAAAATTAAAGACAAATAGTCTCTTTTAATGGTTAATATTCCCACTTCAAAGACAAGAACACACTCGAATTTTCACTGTCACAAGTAACACTCAAGAAAAATATATTGAATCGGTTCATAGAAAATTTATTAATTTATTTTATTATTTTATGGGTATAAATCACAGAGAAATACTTGTTACAGAATTCTCCACAACAGCAACGATATCAAACTCAACAATCATCAGTTCCATCACAACAGCAATTATCTCCCGCACCAGTATCACAGCCTTCTGTACCACCAATTATATCCAATGTCTTCCACCATCGGGATTACCGTCAAAATCGGATATCCTTACTTCATCCAGAATATGGACCTGGAGCTCGTCTTAGGAATCATTCATCTCTTATTCAACAATCGTCTTCAGGGGTGGTATGTGTTGATGGGAGTGTTGGAAGCGGACATGGAGGATATACGGGTAGCCAACAACCGTTAAAAAAGATGAGACTTCAAGACAAAGATGGTATTAATCAACCATTGAGAATTGATACTAGGGTAAGTTTGTTATTTTTATTTTAATAACGATAAAAAAGTGTGCACTGATGTTAAAAGTAAATGATCTTATGCACTATTATCAGTGAATAATTATTATTCACTGCTTTTTATCACTACTCTTCCCATATGTAAACATTGTCAAGTATATCGATTGCAATTATCACCCATTTTATTAGTAAGTAATGTCTCATCTAAATATCAAATTAATTACCTTAAGGATCAGCGCCCACGGCGCAACTGTTTAAAAACTCTGGTATGAAACCGATTGTGCTCGCAACTGTTTTGTGATCTCAGCAGCATAAATGCACAGAGTCGATTTTGTTCGGGCTTCCTCCCGTGGTCGCAGTTGCGTTGCAATTTTTTGTAACACGTTATTACCTGATCGTTTGGGAAACATGTTAGGATATAAATATTTTAGGATTAGTCAAATTATACGGAAATTAAATACTGATCAAGAATTTGTATTAACTAAATATTTAAAAAAAATACTGATATTTCCATTTTAAGAATTTGTTTTAATTTTATGTTGACATTAGTTATTGTCAGTTGGATATAAGTAAAAATGAGGATAACAACAAAATTTTAACCTATTTATTTTTCAGAATAACGAATAACGTCAAATTGAAAATTGGTTGTTTGTTTGGGTTTATATGCCTGCGGACACTAAATCCGTTCGCCAATCTCACAATTTTTATTTATTTATTCATTAGTCATTGTTTCGTATACAATCTTATCCTAAATCTAATACTAGTGTTGATCTCTAATATATATAGGTAGTCGTTTTTTTGGTAATTTGTTTCAATTTTTTTTGTATTAGGTACTTTTTTAGTTATTTATATATAAAATAGACGATGAGGTCCTCAGAGTTCCACGGCAAACTCTTCTGCAACTATCTACTTAATCCGATAGCTACTTTACTATGGACTGTAGAAATTCCTCATTATCTTTATTTTATTTTTTTTGTATTTTTATCTTTTTTAAATTTTTTTTTATTCTAAAAAATACTTCAAAATACAAAAAAAGATTACTTCTTTTATATTTACAATTACAATGTGAGTTTTATAAATAAAACCTGTTTATACAATAATCTATATAAAAACGCATTGTTTTCTAATGTTAATACATATATACTTAAATGTACTTAAAACAGTTCATGTAACACTTTTTGGGCATTAAAAGGTATACAGTGGTGAGTGCGATATCAGCCGGCTTTTTAACGTAAGAGATAGAAAACACAGTTACCTTGTGAAATAAAAGGAGATGAAACTCGTAGAGGTGGGAAATAATCGATAGAAACCTATAATTTACATTACATTACATTACGACTATCGATAGTCTCACACCTTTAGACGTTACCTTCGATCTAAATCACTTCGGTCATAATTATTATGTTTGACAGTTTGACGTCGTATGTGTGACGTATTTCCATTTTTTAATTTAGATAAAGTAAAAACTGATTGACCACAATAAAGCAAAAATGTGAATAAAATAATTTAATTAATAGTGATTATTTATTCTAAAGTTTTAAATTATTAACCAAGAATAATTTCTACTATGATTTGAGGAGTTTCATACACTCTTGTCACAGAATAATTAGCAATCCCTCGTGGATTAGTGGTAAGAATTCGACTCTGCGACGCAGATGATCAGAGTTCAAAACCTACATGAGGTTTTCTTTTTTTAATAATTTGAAATTTTGCACAGATCGTTTTGCTTTGAATCACTAAATATTTATGTCAGTCGTTACTAGTATTTGAAGTGTTCAAAGTTAAACATAAATATCTTATTGAAAAAATAGTGTCGTTGTACTTTCGAAACTAAAGTAAAATTCTTCAAAATTAAAAGAATGTTTAAATAAGTAAAAATTTTACAAAAATAAAAAAATATTGTAAATAAACGTATTTACAATATGTTCAAATAAACCTTCATTAGCAGCAGAATAATAACCCAAACTGTCACTAAAGAATTATAAAAGTCTGATAGATCAGGGCTGAAGGCACGATGTACTCATGCAGGCGGTTAGGGTTCAAATCCTACCAAAAGTTTTTCCTTTTTTAAAAATTTGAAATTATGCAGATATTATATCGTTTTGCTTTAAATCATAAAACATTTATTTCAGTCTTTATTAGAAGTGTTTATAGTAAAACATGAAAATCTTATTGAAAAAACAATGTACTTTCTAAAATAAAGTAAAAATTCTTCAAACATAAAAGAACGTTCTAAATAAATGTACTTACAAAAAATGTTTAAATAAGCAGAAATTCTATAAAAATATTCTAAATAAACGTATTTTATTCTAATGAAATGTATTTACAAAAAATGTTCAAATAAGCCTCCATTAGCACAGAATCTATTATAAAAGTTTCGTCTAACATTAGTTAATGTTTCTGGACTAATACCTCTCATTGAATCAAAGATCTTTTCTCTTAATTCTTGGAGAGAATTAGGCCTATCGTCTTCAATTCCATATAGTTTGGACTTGATATATCCCCACATAAAAAAATCACAAGGTGCAAGATCAGGTGATCTTGCAGGCCAAAAAATATCTCCGTGTCCACTAATCAATCGATTAGGAAAAGTCGCACTGAGATATTCACTGACGATGAGAGAATTATGTGCAGGACAACCATCGTGTTGAAACCATATGGAATCGAAAGAAATTGGTAAATTACGAAGGGCTGGGACAATTTGATTTTGCAGAAGTTCCAAGTATTTCCGCCCAGTCAACATACCGTCTATAAAAAATGGACCAATGACATGATTCCCTATTATGCCTCCCCAAACATTTACTTTTTGAGGACGCTGGGTACGAGCAACATAAATCTGACGAGGATTTCCTCGGGACCAATACCGAGCATTCATTGAATTGTGACGGCCATGCAATGAAAACGTACATTCATCGGTGAACAAGACGTTCTCTAAAAAATGTTCATCTTGATGTGACATTTCCATTGCAGTTTGACAAAATTCTAAACGTCTATACTGATCCCCAGGGAATTGTTCGTTGGATTTATGAAGTTTATAGGGTCGGTATCCATGCCTTTTCAAAATTTTACCAACTCTAAATCTTGAAATTCCATATTGTTCTCCGAGACGAGATGTTGATTGGGTAGGATTTTGCTCAATACTTGCTCAAATCAAAGTGTCTCTTAGTTCCAAATCTGGATTTACCTCCCTTCGCTTACGAACTCCTCTTGGAGCGAACACGGATCCATAAGTAAAAAAATTACGTATAATAGATTGAATTGTTGATCGTGATGGAGCCGGCCTATTTGGAAACATATTTACAAATTGTTGTCTAATCATGTTGTCTGAGAATCCATTCACATGCCAGACAACAATTTGCACTTTTTCCTCGACCGTTAAAACCATTTTTACGAATTGTTTTTTCAATAAAAAGTTTCTGTTTACCGTGCAAAAACACTTCTAGATATGTTATTATTTGATGGCTTAAAGGCTTTGCTTCGCGCGCATCCATTCCAATGTTGTCAATTGTTTTGAAAATCATTACCTGTACAGAGGAATTGATATTAACATTGAGAATTTAATGATGGATTTGAAATAAACAGTCTTCACCGGATTATTTTGCATTCACAACTGAAGACTGTATGAATTGAATTTGAATCATTCTGTATTTCCGTTTTATAACATTGGAATAAAAATAAATTGTAAATAATGAGTTTTTCGAAAATTTGTTACCTAATATGTATCATATTTTCTATTATTTTTTTATTGATAAAACAAAAATTTTATCCTTGGTGTGGAATTGAACCCCAATTTTCTCGTCAATAAACAACGTCCCTAACGACTACACCAATTTCACATAGATTAAGTGTTTCCAGACAAAACATACCTACCTTTATTTTAGTCAAATATTTCAGTTGAGTTATTTTTACTATTAAGTAAATTTAAAGATTTATAATTTAAAATCGCTACTAATGAATGTTTTTTACTATAACATATCTTAATTTATTCAAGTATTTATTCTAACATCAGAAATTATTAAAATAAAATATTTTTGAGGGTATCCGTATAATTATGACTGAAGTCAAATAGCCACGTCTAAAGGTGTGAGACTGTCGATGGTGGTAATGCAATGTAATGTAAATTATAGGTTTCTATCGATTATTTCCCACCTCTACGAGTTTCATCTCCTTTTATTTCACAAGGTAACTGTGTTTTCTATCTCTTACGTTAAAATGCCGGGTGATATCGCACTCACCACTGTATAACAAGTACATATAAAAAATTATTATGGTTTCATTTGTATCCAAAAGTACTTAACAAATGTAAAAAAATAGCGCATATGAAACATAAAAAAGCAATTTCTTTCTTTTTGAAGGCATAAATGGACATTGCACTTCTGACATTTCCATCTTCTGTACTACAATATAGTACAGTCACTGAAGTTTTTCCCTCCGATTTCGTTGAACCTCCATCGATTTTCATGAAAATTGGTGAGTAGTTAGAGGATACCTTAAGAAACAAAAGTGACATGGTCTCAACTTGTCCTTGTATCCTTGGGGTGGATACCACCACTTCTCGGGGGTGGAAATTAATTTATCAAAAATAACCTCAGGAATCGATAGAGGGACCAAATCTAAACAAAATTTATCGAATAAAGTTATTAAAATAAATAAATACTTTTTGAGTTATTGAAGATCGAAGATTTTGATTTTTCGTGAAAAAAATGCATGCTTTAAAGCGGTTTTTTTATAAATAACTCAAAAACGATAAGTTTTTATAAAATAAAAAGTTGTCATTACCAAAATTGAAGTTAATAAAAAATTGAATAAATTCCTTGATTGAAAAACCTTTTAATATTAATTTAAAGTGAGGTAATTAAATGTATTTTTTTTTTTTCGTCGAGTGCTCAAATCTGAATATTCAAGCTTAAATAACGGGAAAACAATACATTTTATAAAATATACTTATTCAAAAATTTTTAAAGTACTCAGAAATACCTATAAAATGACCTCTAGAAGAAATTGATAGCATCAAAATTATGCAAGTTATGATGAAAATAAGAGGACATTTTCAAATTTTTTTGGAAAAAGTGAAAAATAAAACATATGCCACTTCCACAAAAATTAAAATTTATAGTAGTCCCTATAAGGTTTTCTTTATTTTGGCGTAAGTAATGACCTCAAAAATTTTGACCGGTTTAGAATGCATATTTTTGAAAAAAGATTTGATTTAGAAAAATCAGAATTTTTAAAATTTTCATAAATTTCATTTTCTTTTGAGAATAACTCCATATAATACTCAATATACTGAAAACATGATAGAAAACAAAATTTGAGGTTTTCTTTTAAAAAAGATTTTCTTTTTTTTTTATATTTTTGTAGGATAAAAAATAACTGAGATAAAAACGTTTAAAATCTAAATTTTACTGCGAGAACCATGTAACCGGGGCCCTTTAACCTTTTATCTTTAAAAAAATAAGGAATTTAAAAGATTAAATTTAACCTGATATTATAAAAATTAACGTAGTTATTGTATAAAAATCAATAACATTTTTTTAGAAAAATTTTTGGAATAGATATTTTGTATGTATATATAGGAAAAAAGGTAATAAGAAGTAGACGTCGTGTCGATAGGTATATGCTCACGAAATATACATGTGTGGATTTGTGTATGTATAGTTTGAAGATAGAGAAAGCTAGTGAAAGGAATTCTGTATATCTGCTCAAAAACATCGTGGGACTTTCTAGTATGCTGTTCTAGTATATTGAATATTTCAGTATAACTCAACAGATATAGTTGCAACGTTCAAGGTCACTTCAAGATAATGGGAGGAGCCGAAACTCAGTTATATGCAAGCGGCCGAAGCGTAAAAATCCATATATTTAGCATTGAACATAAATTCATCTCTGGTCCCAACGTTTGCTGCATTGGATGAACACATCAAAAAAGTTTATTTACAAACCCAGATATGGCTTCTAAACAAAGACATTCGTCCAGTTGACTGGGGATGGTGCAAAATTAAAGAATCTTTGTTTCCACCTAAAAATCCCAATTTACCTGCTCCAGAAGAATTGTTAAAATTGATTTTTTGCAACTGCAAAAAAGGAAATTAATAAAAAAGGAGAAATTTGTGAAGAGAGCTCTGATGAAGAGTGAAAAATTAACAATTAAAGTACTATTGATATTTGATTAATTTATGAAACATTACTTAAATAAAAAACGAATGAACTTTTTATATATTTTAATATTTATTTTAATACGTTTTCCTCTTAACTAACAAATTAAATTTTTATAAGTCACATAAGCACTGAAAACATTGTTCAGGAAATGTGGAAAGAATAATATTAATAAAGTTTGGAATATATTAATAAAGTTTATCATAACCAATAAAAAAAGTTTCTAAATGATTAAAGCTATTAAAACTAATAAAAAAACGTTTTCCATTATTTTTATGACAAGGGCTAGTTTTTAACGGTGCAAAATTACGCAATAAATAAATAAATGCTTTAATGCTCAGTAAATGAGATTTCAATTCAGTAATGTATTATTCAAATAACTAAAGTTTCTTGAAAATAATTTTTTCAATGATTCTGCTTTAAGGGGGTGGTTTTTAAGGGTTGAAATTTCACAGTCAATCAAAAATTATATCATAAACAATAAAGAAACTATTTGGGCAATATTAATATGCGATTTGATATTTTAGAAATATAAAAAATGGTTTTTTCATGATTTTCGATTTAAGGGATAGTTGCTAAAAGGGTTGAAAAATATAAAATCATAAATCATTCCTATAAATGTTCCAAAATATTTATTTTCTTTAATTAATTGAGATTGCTTATACCAGAATGCTTAAATCTGCATTTTTTACCATTTTTAACAAAAGGGGTGGATTTCACCCCTAAAATGAAAAAGCGTAAGTTGAGCATATGTCACTTTTGAAGTTGAGGGTAAAATATACTCAATCCCAAATTGTCATACAAATCTATGGAGGCTCACCGAAATCGGAGGTAATAGTTGCTTTACCTTCATTCGCTGTACTAATAAGAGCATCTGTTGTATCTATGCCACCCATGGACTTTTTTATAACCTCGGGTCGACTTACGTCATTGACATTTTGTGTTTTTATTCCAACGTTTTACAATATATTTAATACCAACCCAAACGAAGTTGGATACCATTATCACTGGCTTACTATCTAACCATCTGGTTACTACAATTCAATCAGAAGAGATAATTTGTTCCGTTTATCATCTCTCGTTTTTTGAAAAATCTTTTACATTTTTCAAAAATTCAATAAAACAAACAAGTATTGATTTTGGGTTGAGAATTTGTAAAAGGTTATAACTTGTAGAATAATTGTCACAATACAATCCATGCTTATTAGGTTCAAGTACTTTTGATAATTTGCAGTACGATAGCTGCACCCTGTCAATATGTCAAATAAGAAGGTTCTATTTTTGTGCACTTCGATAGATTAGAAAATTGTAAATCAATCCACTTTTACTACCTAATACATAGAGTTTACTCCCAATGGATTGGGTTTGTTTATGATTGATTGCTTTATACAATCTCCCTTTGGAGGCCATGATTTGTTTGTTTTTGCAAACATTTGTTTCTGTAGTTCTCTACATCTCTTTAGGACTGATTCAAACACTGGTCGAACTTTCCATAGTTTGTCATTGCTGTGTCTGGGTTCCAGATTATCAACACGATGTAAGTGGGTGCGAAGTTTGAAAAAATGATTCAATGTCATTGTCAGCGCCGGTTTAACCAGGGGTCTTTTCGGTGCTGTAGCATCGGGCGGTTGAAGCTTCCAGGGCGGTGCGCGCGAAGTGTGTGCTGTTCCCAAAATAATATGGTTATGGTAAAATAAAATTTGCATGCAAATCTACATGATATTAAAATGTTTTGTGTTTGTATATGTTTTATTCATAGTATTCAGTTTATGTTATCTAAATGTCATTTAACGTACAAACATGCCCAATGTGGAAGTTCGGAAACAACCTGGATCTTTCTGGCGTAAAAGGAAACAAGAAAATCAGGAAAGGTAAAATACAATTTTGAAAGGTATACCCAAAAAGAGCATTTTTTTACAACGGATGGAAATCAAGAAGACGACATTACAAATTTTTCCCAACCCGGTTCTAGTTCTAGTGCTACTAGTAATCAATATATTCATATTCGACCACATGAACCTATTTTGGAGACTACAGAATCAGTGCTAGACCACTTAGTATTACCTGTTTCAAAAGTATTAGAAGATGAAGAAGCAACCACCAGTTACTCGGGTAAGGCATATTTAAATTACGGAAATATAGCGGCGCCTTTACAAGTGGTAACTAAAACAGGACAATGGCAAATTTTTTTATTTCTTTTCGGATCCAAAACAGAAATGATTCTAGAAATATAGGTCGAACAGAATCTGACAGATATGGGCTTTTTAATGTCAAAAAGAAATTTCGGCGAACTAAATAGGTATGCCAGTCAGCAAATATGTTATAAAAAACTGCTAATGGGGAAGTGGTTCACTGCGATTGGGGAATTTACCCCGAGAACTCTGGCGATGTATTTTGTCCTTATTGTGTCTTATTTGAAAAAAAAAAGAACCAATTTAAAACAGGATTTTCATTTTGGAATAAAAGTATGGAAAGATTTGACGAAAATGAAAGATCAAATGATCATATAGATAATCTGAAAATTTATACGACTTGCTTATTAAAGCAAGGAAGCAAGGAAATTAGCACTGGGGAAACAGTTATTGGGATGTTAGAGTCTTTGAGATTAGATATTAAGAACTGTAGAGGCCAGTCTTACGACAATGCCAGTAATATGATTAGCAAGTATTCTGGTTTGCAAGCACGTATTAATGTTTACAATAATTTAGCTCTCTTGCAACATCTTTTTTATGTTGGTATTTGCCGAGTCCGGGCAGACACTGTTACTTAAAAGAGTGAATACAACCCGTTGGTCTTCTCGTTTTGATGCCGTAAAAGCGCTAAAAAGCAATTACGGTTTGATTAAAACATGTTTGATTAAAATGTCAACGGATATAAATAATAAAAATATAGTAAGAGTTAACGCAGCTTCGCTATCGGAAAAGCCTGATTTGTTGGAAAACGGAATAATTTTATCATTTTGGCTTGACGTCATCCGAAAGATTAATGAGGTGAATAAAGCAGTACGAAAGGAAAATATGGATTGAAGCACAACCGCTCATCTATTATCATCTTTAGCAGAACCGCTTTGATTTCTTACGTGATCGTTTTGATCACTACTAGGCCTTAGGAATGTTGTTAACAGGGAACTAAAATTATACTGAGAAGAGGATTATCAAAAAAATTGCAATCAGGAGAAAAGAATTTAGAGGCAAGTTTAAGCCAAAACCAAAAAGAAAAAAATTGTCTCATAAAAACACAATGTTATGTTTTTATAATAGACAATCTTAAGTCGGAGATTCTTCGCCGATCTGATAGTTCTAAATATTTATCAAGAGCATTTGCATTTTTGTTTAAACTAAAAACTACGAAAGATGACGATATTTTCAGATCGGCAACCGGATTACAACAAAAATACAAGGAGGATTTGAACGAGTATTTTCTCCAAGAACGTGTTCATTTAAAGCATTTGTTAACGTTTCTTCTCCAATTAAAAATAGACACTCCTTTAGAATTGGTGCAGGTTTTATACGAAAATAAACTAATATCTTCATTTCCAAACTTTAATATTTGCCTGCGTATTTTTTTCTACATAATGGTCGCAAATGCAAGGCGAACGCTCTCTTTCGACAGTATAAAAGGTCTACTTAAGAAATGCAATTTCCCAAAAAAATTTGAAATCCTTAGCAGTTATTATCCATTAACGAGGATCTGATAAATGAATTAAATATAAATGATAATATCGAAACCTTCGCTTCAATAAAAGCAAGAAAACAAGCTTTTCAATAGTATTTGATTACCTGCCTCATGTTACCTATTTGAATGTTATTAGGTACATTTTAATTTTACTTTTTGAAGTAATTAAAATTATTTTAAAGTCCTTAATTTTTTTCTTTTATTTTGTTAGTATTCATTTAAGCTTGAACCCAAAAAAAAAGTTGTACAGTGGAACCTCGATTATCCGTCAGGACACCGGACCAAGGGTATGACGGATAAATCGAAAAGACGGTTAACAGAACATTAAAAAAAATTCATGGTATAACTCTCAAACTTTGTATGATTTATTTGACAATATAAGATGGATTTATGTTAGTATAGTTGAATCAATCTTAATCTACGTAAAATCATCAAATCTACCTTATTTGCTTCTTCTTGCCGAGAATACCACTTGATGGTAATGATGGCGTCAACATCGCCACCATCAAAGTCTCTAACAGCTTTTAAATCAGTTTCGTCCGCCTCTGTTGTCATTTCAACGATTTCATGATCTATCAGCAATCGATAGCCGTGCGTCCTCATCACAAATTAACCATTCGTTTATGTCATCTTTAGGCAACAAAAACAAAACAGTTGATTCAGCCATAACTACATTATTTGTTACCGCATCACGCTTGGCCATAATTTTTTAATAAAACAATAATTTAATAAAACGAGACTGCGTGTTTTAAGTTGTATACTTTCTAGTATTCTGGTAAAGAATATTTCTCTTCCATAACTAATAAATTTTTTCGAATGCATTTGTTTCTGTATCTTCTTTTGAATGTTTTAGTGACGGATTGATCTGTTGGCTGTATCAATGATGTTGTATTCGCAGGCAGAAAGGAGCACCAGAATATTGTCCAAAATGACAATCGCCTTTGGTTTCAATTTTTTTGCTTGCAAGTATTGTCTAACGTCCGGTATAAAAACTTAAAAAACCAAAAATCTGTTGGCGAATACTTCCTGGGACATCCATACATTATGTTGTATGTAATAGTTAACGGAAAGCGCGGTCATATATATGCCCTTTAAACAACGTGCTTTTTAAATCCTGATTTATATTTTTTAGACAGTGCAGCGAGTGTGTTCGTTGCCAATGCTTTATAGTTTAAATCAGTTTCATTCGCATTGAACACTTGATCGCGTGTCAAACCATATTCCATCGATCATATCTTGAAACTTTTTTGATTTTTGAACTTTGCCAACCAACCGCTGCTTACTTTGAATAAAGGATCACCATTCAATTTCATGTTGTAAGACAATGCTTTTTCGGCAACAATTGGTCCAGACAAAGGAACACCTTCGCTTCTTTTTTGAACGAACCACAAATACAGAGTGTCGTGTCGTGTTGTGTCGAGTGATTCATTTGTGGCTTTTTTTCATTGTCCAACTATATCTCATCCGGCCATCCAACGATTCCATATGCGAAACATACTTTTCAATTCCTTCAGCATTTTTCTTTAAATCATTTATTGTTGTTCTCGAAACATCATACTTTTTGCTCAATGCGACTAAGTGACAGAATCAATGTTCGAATTTGAATCAAACTGAATTATGTTGACACACAGATATTGACTGTAATAATTATTGTGCTTAGCGTTATTATTTTCGGCTTCCGATTCTAAAAATGAAACTCTAAAAGCCCGGTATCATTTATTATTACCTATTTAAATAATTGAAATTTAATATAGAGCCCTGATTAAAAACAATAATTATTTACATAAAAAAAGGCAGTGATGGCATAACTTCACGTGTACATAACAATTAACAAATTCACATCGAAATTGTCCAAATTGAGGGCTTGCATTTGTTGTACGTTCATAATGTCGGTTGAAAGATTTGTATGTACTGGAGGATGGTTCTGATTGATGGTATCAGGTGTATCTTTGATATAATCAGATGTATTATTGGTATAGTCGTAAAAATAGTCAGTTTCAAGATCATTTTTTGTATAATAATGTAGCGAGATTAAATAAAACGAGCGGTTCGAATTTATACAAATATATTTATTTATAACTTTACAGTTCAATACTATCTTATCAACTAAACTTACTCCTAACACCGTTACATATATATACCAAAGTTACTATATTCTAGAACATTCCCACCTCTAATTCTAATTCAGTCAAATACCTGACGGATGTTCTCTTGCGGTCGAAAGATCTACCGATGATTCTCGATGCCCGAGATGCTTCGAGATGCAACTGTTAGGCGGGCCACACTGAATGCATGTTCGTAACACTGCTCCCCTGTTAGATCTGAGCGTCCCGATCAGCAACTCTATATGTAGGCCTAGGATGGCGGAATCTACAGGACTCTCCAGCTCTGCATGAACCCCTCAGAAAGAAATAACAGTCTACTGTCTTTGAAGGGCACGATCTCTTCGGATTAGTACAACACAGTAATTCTTACGCCGGTTTCTCGGAAGATTACTTCAAGCATGCTTCTGACAATCTTCCAATCCAGATTATCTAGTGCATGGCCTATCTTGGGTAAGGCTAAATTCTTAATGTCGTAATTGCAGACGATTTTCTTCAAATTAGTTAGAGCACACCATATATTCTCGTAGGTTGCCCTGTCTGTATACGACTTCCTGGTCACCATATACAGCAAAGATCGAGAACCATCTTCTAATCTCAGTACTCTTTCAACTTTAGGCTGCTGGTTTTTTAACTCATCCAAGCGACCGAATTTCTTATAAAATACGGATGAGATCCCTTTAGTCATCTCAAGATCTTGGGCAACACAGTGGGCTAGAGTGACGTTATGCGGAACACTAAAAAGATCCTGCTAAACTTCTGTCGTCACGCCGAATCTAGCACTCTTTCTCTCTGCGTAATTTGACATAAATTCATTAAAGCTTGGTCGCCGATCATCTTTGATCTCATGTTGAAGGGTTCGGACTTCTTCAGTTTCATTTGAGCCAGCATAAGGTGCAAGACGATTTATGTGAACTACTTTTGGTTTACCTTTCGGCAACTTCTTAATTCGGTATATTACGTCATTTATTCTCTTTTTAATTTTATACGGACCCTCCCATTGTCTTTGCAGTTTAGGAGACAAGCCACGACGACGTTGTGGATTATAAAGCCAAACAAGATCACCTACTTCATAGCTTTCATTCTTGCATCGAGAATCGTATTGATCTTTTATTCTATCACTGGCTAACTGGATGTGTTGTCGGTCAAGTTCATGAATGTTGTTCATTCTTAACTTTAGGTGGTCGACATAATCTTCGCTTGCAACATATTCTTCAGAAGGTCTGCAGCCAAACTCTAGGTCGCAGGGCAAACGAACTTCACGACCTAACATCAGGCAGGTTGGAGTCTGGCCCGTAATTTCATTTACGGCCGAGCGGTAGGCCATTAGGAATAAATGAATGTGCTGGTCCCAATCTCTTTGATGTTCTGATACAACTTTGGACAGGTGTTTACCCATCGTTCGGTTCATTCTCTCGACCATTCCATCTGATTGAGGATGAAGGGGTGTCGTTCTG